ATGTTTAGTACAATTGTATAAACCAAAAAAGTATTTACATTCTCTCTAAATAGCTACATTATTTGCCTTTCTTTCAACTGAAGACAAATATTTCTCTCTTTTGTAATTTCAAAAAAAATGAGTGTCAATATTTGTTTTATTTTTAGTACATTTCAAGGTTTTATTTATGTCAAAGGGTGGAAACATTTGATTCTTAGGGACATCAGTTTGAGTATTTGTTATACTATGAAACAGTGCAATTTGTAGTGGGTATTTAATTTCAACCCTCAAAATGAAGATAAAAAGTTCATTTTTATGGGAGATATTTCGAAATCGCATTCATTTAATGTATTTTAGCACAGTGATTTCTTGGAATTTTTATTGTTTAACAGTTTCAATGAGGACATCATGACACTGGTGATGCAGGCACATTTATCTGACGAGGCTTAAGTATGACGAAACGCACATCCAGAATTCCAGTGTTAGTCATCATCGTTGTTTATATATAATAAATAATAAATGTAAGTTAAATTTTCCTCTTCAAATTTAATTCTGATCAGTAGAGAAACAAGAATTTCTGGTAATATCAAAAAAAGTTCGGAAGGAAGGAAAGTTGCCTGCTACTTGAAAGAAAGGCTACTTTATCAAAATACCCAAAAAAGGTGACTTAAGCCTTGGCGAATCTGTTGCGCAAAGACAGGATCTGAAAAGCAATACACCTTCATCACTGTGAAATCACTCTGAAAATTCGCTGCACTCAACATAAGGAAAAAGATTCAGATTTTAGACACTAATTAATAGCCAGTGCTTCTATATGGGTCAGAGACATGGCACACCGGATACCGGAAGCATTTCCAACAGACTACTGCAGACTTTCATCAACAGGCGCCTTCAATCTATACTGAAGGTCAGATGGCCTGCCATAAACGATAAGCAACAAGCAACTCTAGGAGCGAACCACCCAAGAATGTTTTTTTTATTCCTTCACGTTCTCAGTGGAACATAGGGCTTCAAGCTACAGCTTTGAAGTTTCGGTAGCAGTGATGTTTGTTTTTACGGGATGATGTTGCTAGCCTCATGTCTAACCTAACCTCTTTACCAGCCTTATAACTGGCTTAGTGAGGTAAAGGATTGCGTCGGCCGGGAATCGAACCTCGGACCACATTCGTGGTCGGCGAGCACAATACCGCTGTGCCACCGACGTGCCTCCAAGAATGTATTGCCCAACAAATATGCTGATGAAAATGGAGTGAATTCAGACATACGCTGAGGCCATCGTTGAGTATCATCATTTGCCAAGCCATCAAGTGGAAGGCGAATGAGGAAAGACAAGTTAGGTATCCAAGGGTTATATAGAGGAGCTCGTGTGAAGAGGAGATGAGAGCTTATGGTCAATTATGGAGTCATTTGAAGACGACTGCAGTGAATTAGATGAAATGGGAATGTGCTGGTGAAGCCCTATGTTCCACTCGGAACCCAATGGAATAATAATAATAATCATGACTAACAGTCTACTGAACGTTAAGTTTTAACACTGACAATATAAAATTATAAAACTCTGTAATATTACATAAAATAATATTTCTTAATTTGTATAGTCAAAATGTCAGCGGAAAAGACAAAATAATATTTAGCGACTGAATTAGGAAGGCAGCTTTACTATAGCATCCAGATTTCAGAAGATTATGTATGATGTTTAGAAAAGATACACTTTTTCTTGCATTATATTCAAATACTTATGACTTACAATATAAATTTTATCCACTTTTTTACTGCTAAAGGAGTCTTACGAATAGCTCAGACGCAGTATTGCAGGACTTCTTTTTACAAAAAAAACTTGGGTAAGAATAAACCTTACGGAGATGAAAATTCATTCTCCTAGTGAACTCAACAAGATATCTGAATGTAACTTTAACATTCTTGTTTATAATAATTGCAACATATTTCACACTACGCGTGCACGATTTTGTTTTTGATTAAAATCTGAATGAGAGAATACACTTATTTGTCATAACACTTTACCTCATCACTCTTAGATTCTTTTATTGTTTATACCTATTTTTTGTAGGATAGGCAGATTTGTTTGTGATTTCAGCTCACAATCCACACACACACCTTATCATGATATATTTGTTTACATGATAACCGTAAGCTAATAACGCAAATATAGCCTCAAGGAACGTGATGCCTGCAACTGATACATACAACACTTAAGCAATGTGTATGCATCGAAAGCATATACAAACACTTAGTTTTTACACGTTTAATAAACAAACAAATAAATAAATAAAGTCTATAAGAAATAAATATTAAGGTTTCTCTTATCTTGAGATAATACTGGTGATCAGTTATCGTGCACTGTTATTTTGTTTAAATTAATTTGAAATTCCCTCTGATTGATTTATAGTGAATTGGAATGCTGGGACCGCTACTTCAGTAATGTCTACAGGGTTAACATGATGTCATTTGTTTGGTGAAGGCTAGCTGTGGAATCCAGAATGTGTACATATTATCCCATTCGGGCTTCGTCAGTTCTATGTACTTACGTCCCCATTGAGTGGTGGTGTTCAGTGGGCCTCTGCGCCACAAGGGACACTCGTTATGTAACAGGTATCAGTTATTATTTGTTTAAGCTGGTTTGAATTTCCTAATGATTAACTTATATTGAACTGTTAAACTAGGTTACATAAATAAACAACAGAACTGTGAAAATCACAGTTACTTCGTCTTTCCCTCGTCGTTATCATTTGTTTATACTAACAGAGTGCTAAGTCATAAAGACTTCGGTTCAATTTAATTTCTACCTGCTTACCACGTATTTTTTACATTTTAACTAAGGCAGTTGAACTATAACAGTTTATGGTTAGTTGCCATCTTTTATACATCCATCTAAAACTGGTGTACAACAAAATCCGAGAATTTCAAATTGATTTTTAAAAGAATATCAACTGGATGTATTCATACTAAAAAAAATTCCTTAGACTGTCTTTTTGTTTAGGATAATTTTGCGTAGAAAATTTTCTTTTCAACAGTATTTTTAGTTTATGATAAACAAAATTTAAAATTGACTGACATGTCTCCAATCCTTTCTTTGTCTGAACTGATAATGCACTGTGAAGAATAACAGTAAATAATAAAGTACCTAAGTATCACTGAAAACCAGTTGACAGGCTATAGTTTTTGTCAACTAACTTAAATTATTTATCTTTTTTTATCCTTCACGTTCCCCAGTGGAACATAGGGCTTCAGCAAGTGGCTTGAAGTTTCTGTAGCAGTGTTTATTTTACAGGATGAGGTTGCTAGCCTTTCCTCTTCACCAGCATTATTTCTGTCTAAGCGAGGTAAAGGAGTGCGTCGGCCGGGGTTCGAACCCCGGACCATGTGCATGGTCGGCGAGCGTCCTAACCGCTATGCCACCGACGCTCATTTATCATTTTGATATAATGAAAATTTTAAGTTATGAAACTCCTCATCTGTGTGAAACTTCATAATGCTAGACATGCGTATGATCCTTTGGATGAGTAAACTCATTTTTAAACCATGACCAAGATTCGATCAAACCTATCAAAAGGAGTAAATTAAAACATCTGGGCATAGCCGAGGCACTAGCCATCCAAAAGCTCAAACCCACGCTATATATCCAAAAGAAATACGTCCAACCCTTGTCCTTGCCATGGCCATCATAAACAGGTAATTCTTTTAATAGTGACTACCCCATTGACTTTCTTATCCAAACTTCCTGTTTATTCCTGTTATTTTTAAGTTTTTTCTTAATCCCTATTTACACTACCATATTTTCATACCCGAACTTCCTGTCTATTTTGTCATTTTTTAAATTTTTACATATTTAATCCTTAATTGCATAAACAGTTATTCGACACGTAAGTTATCATCCCAGTAGATTTTTTTATCCAAACATCCTGTCTATTGTTATTATTTCTACATTTCTAACCCCCAATTGCACAATATGTTAATCTTCTCAGTAATTATGATGCTACTTCGTTTGAATTTTATCCGTCCCCCTGTTTATTATGGCATTTTAATTTCTAATTGTAAATTTAATAATTTGACCCTTGACCGGAAATTATTCTGAAACTTTCCCACCCATTTATCATAAATACACGAATGTACAGCCTAGTTGATGACTTGGTCGAGAAGAAAATTTTCTTCTCACCAACCTTCTTTTTGATAATTCCTATGATCCAATGTATATATTCCTTGAAACCATGATCTAATAATTAAGTATAATGAGTCGTGTTCGTACAGCAGCCTATCACTATCACAAAATCTGTCATCAAGTTGATCCAAGATAAGGTGACGACTGTACTTCTTAACGTAGTCTTCACTGAAATTAATTCAACTCCTACAAAACTCATGGATCTCTGTCTCAATGATGGTTACTGAATGAATGTTCCAAGGTTGTAAAAAGAAATCGTGAACAGTGTGGTCCATAATGTTAAGGTGAAGTGGAGATGTGGGTCGAGGGTAGCTGTGTATCACAAAGTGAAAAAGATAGAACTCATGGGTAACTGAATTCTAACCCAAGTGGAGGAATGATCAACCAGCTTGGTCTTGTAACCTAGAGATCTTAGGCTTGATCTCCGAAGAGGTCATGGTGTGCAGTGAAGAAGAGTGTCAATCTAAGGCGAAACAAATGTCCGATGCTCCCTGGTTTTCAATGGTCTCTCTAACTGATGTTGGATCGTGATGATGTCTACATTGGAGTTAATCCAATTCCTTGCAAAAACCCACAATTTAAATGCTTCTGAAGAGTGAAAGATATTCACATTTTAATATCAAGCCATAAAATCTCTTAGAAATAGACCTATAAACAAATAGGCGTGGTTATATTCACAGATCAGAGATTTTAAATGCAGTTTACTGTTTCCTGTGGAAAAATATGTGTTAGTGGCCTTTAATCCATGTCGTTTTGTATAATAGTCATATACAGCCTAATAATTACACCAGAAGAAATAACTGGTCATAATTTACATTTAGAATGTAGAGATAACATATTAAACTTACCTTACTAAACCAGATGGTAAATAACTAAATAGTGTAATCGCATCAGCTATTGACATGGCAATCATATAGGCGTAAGCTGCACCAGAAAACTGTGGTCCACAAAAGATAATCACATTCACCACATTTAATATAAACCCAATGAAACATATAATAGGCTGTAGATAAAAATTTATGATGAATTCTGTTAAAGATATAGAACAGTCATTTGTTTTTTTAACATTTGTATTATTACTCAATTCTAATAATGTAGAATTTGTTGCATTAGCTACTGAGAAATGATATTCAGTAGTGTTTTCTGACTTTTTAGAGTTGACAGGATTACACAATAAAATTAATATGGTTATTGATGATAAGAATAATAATAAATCCTTGTTATTTATTAGTGAGCTATTAAATTGGTATTTTTTATATCCTGTCAGTGAAACTGTTAGAATCATACTGACTGCATTCTTTAATGAGGCAGTATGCAATGAATAAGTATGCGTATACTTTTCGATGGCGGTATGGAGTTTTTATTCACTTTTGAAATAATAAAACAATTTCTATTATGCATTTCTCCTCATTTAACTCGATGAAAACGTAACGTTATGCACAAAATTGTCTACACTTCATTGGTTGATTTTGATGCTCTCTCCACCAAATCAGACGACCAATGAAATTAAAGTATTCTTCAAAATGGATGAAATTATAAATCAAATGAATTCCTCATCAACTTTTGAATTCAAATAAAAAGGTAATTTATTTAGCTTTAGTTATATTCCACATTGTGCGTCGGTGGCACAGCAGTAGAATGCTCACCAACCATACAGGTGGTTCGAGGTTCGATCCCCAGCCGACGCACTCCTTTACCTCACTAGGCTAGTAATAAGACTGGTAAAGAGAGAAGGTTGGGCACGAGGCTAGCAACCCTATCCCCTAAAAATGAATACCACTGCTACTGAAACTTCAAGACTCTAGCTTGAAGCTCTATGTTCCACTGGGAACGTAAAGAAATAAAAAAATAAAATATTCCATATGGTAACATGTGGAATAGAGTTAAAGAAACAAGTGAAATACTGAATATAAGGTTTTTGATCCCTAAAATTTTATTTGGATAGGATCAAATGGTATTATATACTTAAAAAACGAGTTCTTTAAACGAAGAGCTCACTACATCAGTTAACTTATGAAGTTAGGGAGTTTTAAGTATATACAACTTAAACCTTTAGACTTTGAAATCATGATGAAAGTTCAGAGTAAGTGAGAATATTAGGTGATAAAACAATTGTCTTGTTTAATTTTGATTTCACTATGGGCACTAACTAGTCTGACACTAAAAGCTTTTGAATTATCATTTGAAATTAAGATTTATTTTGAATTCCTTGAAAATTCTCCAGTGTCATAAGCAACTATACTTGAAGAATTACAGGCTTAATTGCTTATCACACCCAGTGTAATTGTGAAGTTCACTTTTCAAGTTTGGGAAATGTATTAATTTCAAGTGTTGGTTTGCTGGGATTTAACTGATTTCAAGTGATAGCACGAAATAATATCAGTCAGAGAACCACTGATCGCCAGAGAGTACTGAGTAACTGTCTAGTCCTATTTTGGGACTGTTCAGCAGCTGACACCTATGACCCAAAGACGATATACATAGAGTAAACAGGCATCAGTTAAAATTCATGGGCCATTGGATCACGTCCTAGTAACTGAACAGTTGTGTGCGTCGGTGGCTTAGTGATGGGATGCCCGCCAAACCTGCAGGAGAACCGGGTCCGATTCCCAGCTAATGCACTCCAGAAACTCGCTGAGTTTAATATCCACTAAGGAGTTAGGGAAAGAGGCAGTGTTAGGAATCAGGGCAGTAATCTCATTCTGTGAAAACCACACCTCTACTGAAACTTCAAAGTTTGAAGCATTATTTTTCACTTGGAACCCTCCTTACCTAACCGACCATGGTTCTTCGGTAGATTGTTCACACTGTGCTGATGGTACTTCACCACAGAATTAAAAGCTTTAACGTCATTAATTGAGTGATACTGAGATAGCAATAGATTGTAGATAAACGTTTAAAACATTGATACTATAGTAAAATGTTTAAGTGACTTTAGGAACCTAAAATCAGAATAGAATGTCATCAGGAAGTGCCTCTAAGTATCCACTTTTTCATGCATGTTTTCTTAAGTTTAAAAACAGTAATTCACAGTGACACCTCTAATTTAAGTCTTGATGGAATCTGTATTTTAGATGTTACAGAAGTATTAGTCGAGGTTTCCTCGAGTGTACAAATGTATTAAATTGTGATATCCAATTGTATATTCTGTACGAATTCTCTTTAGTGCATATAAAAAAATCTGTTATACTGGAACTCGTTTAAGTTAAATTCAACATTTTTTCTTTCTAATTCATGAATAACTCCCATCTATGGATAAACAAAACAAGCAGTCCGGAGAAGAAGCTTCTTTCAGAGAATCCCTTTCCATTAGTTGTACAGTCACTTTTATATACAGTTTTATGCACAAAGAGGATAGTAGCGAAAGTGATGAGTTATCGTAATCATAGTTGTTAATATTGGTCAATACGTAAGAGGAGATAAAGGAGAATGTCAGAGTTACTCAGTGAGGTGAATAAATTAATGCATGAATTGTTCTGAGGATGCAAGTAAAAACGAGGGGAAATATGATATTACGTAGGAGTTCGAGAGGAATAGAAGAATTAGAAGATGTTAAAAGGATAGACAATCAAGTTGTTAGAAATCGACAAAGTCGTTACCATAATAGTGGAAGTGGCTGAGTAATTCGCTTTTTTATGCAGAATGACTAGAGTTTCAGTAATGCAAAAGAGGGAAAGCGTATTATTTGGTAGGTTGCTACTCACTTCTTAGATTGCTTTGAAGGAGGGGTTTGTTGATATAAAACGACTAGAGTTGACAAGGTGCTCAATTATCACAGTGTTTATAGAACAACCGCTACATTTCTGCAACCATTCTGGGCAGTGTTCTTGGAGCTTTTATACAGGATATGCGTCAAATGAACAATATATGTGGCTCCACAGGAAGAGGTGAACTGATATATACACATAGAAGTGGTCCGACGTCAGATCCTGTGTTACAGTCCTTTGAAGACCAGTAGACAACTGGAGGACACTACTCCTAGCGTTGCTGAGAAGAATGTTCTTCTCAAAGATGTTGATATCACAGGTGAAGGTTCCCTTGAAGCTAGAATTCATTTTAAGGTGATTTCTGGTACAAATCATTTTCATTTCTCTATTGTTTCCCCTGTCGTTTTCTACTAACTTGATTGTCATCTTAACCTTTCCTAACTCTTATATTTCTTTCAAAATCTCACATAGTATCACATTTCTACCATTTCTCTGTGCTTCCTGATTACAACTAATTCAATAGTTTATTTATCCCACTACGTAACTCTAACACCTTTGTTCAACTCCTCTTACGTAATAATTATTATTTGCATTTATGATTATGACAGCGTATCACTTTTGCTACTATCCTCCTTTGGGAAAAAATTGTATGTAGATGCGACTGTCCAGCTAAAGGAAAATAATTTACGGAAAAGAGTTTCTTCCCTGAACTACTTGTTTTGTATATTTTCACTTACCCTTTTGTCAGCTGTATATATATATCTTTGTACTTATCTTTCGACAAACTTCGTATGCACAGAAAGATAGAATAAAATACGGCTTATCTTTTGTTAATCAGCTGCATGAATAAAAGAATGATGTTTGGTTGATAAACGGTTTTTACCAAACCCTTTTAGTAAAACTGGGAAAGTTATTCAGTTTTTAGTTAAATTTTATTTCTACTACCATCGAAACAATAAGTCTTTTGAATAATAATAATAATGAATTCAGCGTCGATAATCAGCAGGATTCAATACTAGACAAACAGCAATCAACTATATTTGTGCACTGGTCAGAAATATACCCCTATTTTTTAAATTAAATCCCATTCAGCAAGACAAAAACCAAACAGCCCAGTGATCCCCATAGACGACTGCAAAAATAAACATCATGAGGAAGTTGTCCTAAAGATGTATTTTATGCATGTACCATCCTAAGAGTTAGCTGCTGCCCTGGTGTAGTGACCTATGTTTACTGCATTTCCTTTCTTGATAGTAAGGTTGGATGGACAGTGGTTATAATAAGGGCAGTCATCATCGCTTAAATCGCATACACTCTGACTGTAATCTCATATATGTGGAATACATCTGAGGCAGGCATACAAGAACTAATTGAATTCGCTTCCTGTACTTTACCTAATTAATCGGATGAATCTAAAAGGTTTATACTAGAACTGCCAGTAAATTTTATGCATGATTTTTGTGAACTTGTCATTGTAATAACAGTACTAAATTTCAGAGGGAACTTAACTGTTAAATCTCGTACCAGAACATAGTGGTCTGTGTGATGTTCAGTTGAATAGATTAAGAGAGATTCTTTTTCAGTATCTTCTTTTACACACCTACTGACTACAATTCAGAACAAGTTTTATCAATAGCTGTCTGGTATATTGCAAATCCATCAGCTTAAGTAATTTGAGCAATAAGGAAACTGCAACAGACAGAATAGTAGTATTAAATGTATCTGTGGAATCTCATGTAGATGCACCAAGGATGGAGATAACCATCAGTTCTAGCTTCAGAAATAGACACACCGACTAACTTGGTAACCGGTAAAATAAAGAAAGCGTTAGACATGAATAGACTGCTTTGGCACAAGTTTTCGATTGGGGAGAATAAGTAAGCTATTGGAACATATTGGAACATGGACTTCAGTGACTCATTATTACATGCGCATATGTGAATGTGATTGAATAGACCTAGAAATCAACAACTGCAAAACTTTTATCTGCCTAGTTTTAAGATGGCGGAATGAGGTCTTTGTTTACAGAGCAGTTTTCTAAACATTTATCTCAGTATAACAGCACTGTTCGTCATGAAGAAGTCTAAAATAGTATCTCATCTGTGTTCGAAAAAGTGCTAGAGATAATTGATGACCTTTAGCCGGTTGATATTTGTAACTATATACAAACAGACTGATCGCGGTATGTGACAAACATGATGGAAAGAGAAAGCTACTTAAACATACCCTGAATAGATTTCAAACAATTGGGGATGACGAAAGCGACAGAAACAAAGTGGACATCAGTAATAGGTAATAATCGTCAGGTACTTGAACTCCTTACATAAACCGGCCCTTCATAACCCATGATAAATGTAACGATTACCGAGAAGGATGAGACGGTGATTAGTTCTCAGGATATTAAGTCGGAATGTAGGGCAGAATAAATCGACAAAGTTTTGGCATACATCAAGCATCATAAACTACAGCCTTGTTGAGAAGCAGTGGTTCTTTTAAATAGGATCATGTTAAACAATAGTTAAGTGTAATCACATCGAATGTTGACAACATTCCATGAAGTTGGTTTCAGCCTCACAACGAGATCTAGACTACTTAGCTGAAATAGTGTGCTAAAAGTCAATGGCTGAAGACTCTTTAGGACATGGTTCAAATTCGTTAACGGTGGCCCACATGTTTTCACTTCTT